TTATAAAGGCAAGACTAATGAACGGCTATGATACCCTGAGCTGCACTTTCTAACTTCATTAGAGGCAAATGTGGATATCAGTGTAGGTATCATTAGAAAAGCTTTTATCAAGTTACAGAATGTGATAAGGTTAATGAGGAGTTTATAAAAGTGTCTCTGGCGGACGGAAAGAGCTGGCAGGGAGGACGAGACCTTAAGCAAAGTATGCTAGTCATTTATTTCATTAGCATGGCCACCTGTACTTTTTTTTTTTTTTTTTGAAGGGCTGAACCTTTTAAAACAAGAAGGTCATGCCAAAAAGTAACATTCAAAAGTGCAGCAGCAGAACTTGGTCGTGAAATGAGCTGTAGGTCACGGTGCTGTTCTTTACCTAGCGCTATAGGTCGCAGTCAGTGGTAAAGTACCATTCCTAGAGCGTCATAGGACAACCGGCAGGATATGAAGCGAAGAAAGGAGGGAGAAAAAATAAACAAATAAATGAATACAGGAATGGAAGAGGAACTGATGAAATGGAGCCAAGTGTGACGACCTGCTGTAAGAGAAAGTGGAGTGTGTGTGAGTGTGAGTCTGATTGTGTGTGTGGGTTGGGGGGGAGAAAGTGATCGCACAAAAATGCAATAGACGAAGCAACTCACCCTTGCAGCGCGACGTGCTAGCAAGAGGTGCTGCGACAAGGTGACACGAGGGAATAACATGTGGTCTAAAGACCAAAGGAAAGTAAATTAAAAACCACCTAGTGTAAAATCATCAATATGTAGCTGTATATCCCTCTTTCAGCAGAGCATATGTACTATTACTTGGAGCATGTCCACAGGGAGAAGCTACTGTTGTAGAGAATTCCAGAGCAGTGCAAATTTGAAAAGAAAAAGACTGATGTTTCTACAGACATTGTAGCACAAGTGCAATATTATATAGTGTTTTTTTATTTTAAGATAAAGCTACAATAGGCTAGAGCAGGTTTGAGTAAATGTGCTTTATACAAAACACTTAGATATTGTTTTCTCTCGTTCCCCCTTTCTTTTGAACACTGCACCTGTCTGCATTCGTCTCAGGACTCAAGGTGAAAGATAAGGTTGCTTCGAGACATTTTAAAAGGTAGCCTAAAAATGACGATTCATCTCGCTGGCAGCATGTCTGAGGATGTTATAAAAGGTTTTCTGTGTTCCCAATGCTTCAGTGATGGACTGTACGTCCTTGGAGCTTTTCAAAAATCCCATGTTTATTGGAATTATTTAGCAAACTTGCCAATGACTACATCTTTACACAGGGAAATAGAAGCAAGACTGTGAAGGATTCCTAAAAACATGCTGTCATGACAGAACATATGGATGCAACGTGAGCCTTAGCCAGCTCCCTTGAGTGTCGAAGAAGTGTTTAGACATGTAAACGTGTGCGGTGTAGATTTAATAAGTGTTCGTATGTAAGGGACTGGGATCGAGCTGGTTCTGATGAGCACAGCCGTTTGCATCATAGAAAAGTGAATTGTACCTTTAACTCTCGCTAAAACCTTAGTCTATATTCGGGTCCCCTTTGAGTTGTGGTGAAATGATGGAAAATGATATACATCTGCAGTCACTGATGTGAGAAAGCACAATTTGATAGTGATCAAGTGCCTTGGGATAGGGACTGAAATAGGTTTCGTGAGATGTACGTTTAGATGATCACATACGATCTGCTTAAATCTGACTTTTTAGTTTAATTCTCTTTATAATGGAGGAAACATTAGTCCCGGGTCCTTTGATGGGGGCCCAGTCGTAAATTTAGTATTGTGTCCCCAGATTTTAAGCAAAGGCTCTGCGTGCAATTATGGTAAAACAGTATGGCCAGCTGTCCAATTTTGTGCTGTTGAAAGGGAGGCATCACCTTGTAATGTTTAACATTTCAACCTCATCAGAATGTGTCCAACCATCATGCATTCAAAACAGGGCAATTTAAAGACCACACAGCAATGACGGATCTCTGTGTTGAGGACACATCAGTTGCAGATATATTGAACTGTAATTGCATCAGGAGGAATGTTTATAAAGTAGGAATTTCTTCAGGCTGAAGCAATATAAGTGGCAGGAACACAAGCATTAGGCCCCGAATCCAGGCGCAATATTGCAAGAGACCCAGGGCGAGAGAAACATTGATGTAATTTCAATATTTGAAATTGGCAAGTTTAATTTAGAGTAAGAACAAGCCAATAAGCTGAGAAAATAGCAAATACAAGAGAGAAAATTACCTTGCAGGATGAAAAAAGTGAAAAGACTTAAGGAATGTATAAAAGTAATCTCCAAGTGGAAATTAGAAATCAACCCACAGAAAGGGGAATAACGGAAAAGAAATATTACTGTCCACTCTCTAAATCAATATAAAATTGCTACAAGACAGAATTACCATGGTAACTCGAGTAAAGAATGAAGCAATTCTTATTATTTCAAAATAAAAACCGGTGCCTGAAGCCCTGAGTTTTATTACAGCAGCAGACAGATCAGGGGTCTAGTATTCATTTGAAACATTGCATTTCAAGTACATGCGCTAGTAACCAACGGATTTCATTGGTCAGTCGGCATGCAGGGCTCGTAAATTAAACGGTAACCAAGAATTTATCATCAGAATGAAGAATGGAAGGTGTTCTTTTCTCTTTTTCAGGTTTTTACAGAGCCCAGCGATGCGAATGATCAATCCTGAACAAGTCCACAATGAGGACCCAATTATTCCATCCAATCCAGATAGTTTTAAATACCTTGAAGGGAAAGAAAATGGCTGAATAGCGTATTTCTCCAGAGAATTAAAAGTCAACCGAGAGCTTCTTTTATTTAAAGGTAGTCATGAAAAGGAGTTGTGCTTGTTCTGTACCTTAACACATTTCCCCAAACCATGCGAAGAAAGTACTAAATGGTATTGTGCTATTGCCTGAAAGCAGTACAGCTTTTTTTTTTGCCAGGATCAAATACAGTGCAAGGACAACTGATGACAAAGCCAGCAAAGCTGAAATGTGAAAGGGCTGATAATTTGGGAAGGCAGTGTAATAGTAGTACAATAGCGAGAGTGTGCACAAGCCCCGCATCGCTCTACTTTCAATCTCCTGTGCTTAGTACATCATTACATAGTATACAGCGATTTGAATGACCTCATATTTCACATAGGAAACTGTACATATTTTAAGACTTCCTAATAGAGCCTCCCAACAGCTTAGGGTGAATTTGTGGATGGAAAACTAAAGCAAAACTGCTTCGTATCACACTTTTTGGAGGATGTTGAGGAAAAGGTAACTAGATAAGTCTTCTGTTGCAGGATGCAGTTATTTCAAAGACTCGCATTGACAGCCTTTAAAAGTTCAGTTATTGAAAACCAAACACATACATATCTTCTGTAGTTTACAAAATCATTATAAATACAACATTATGACTTATTTTTTGTATTAAATATGCAGAATCACAGTGTAAGTTAATACGTACTGAGGACCTGTTCATGTTCACAGACAACATGAAAGTCGTGCTTATGGTTATTCTTTCACAAGGGTTTCACAATTCATTGAATTCCTCCCTCACTTTTAATATAGTACAAGATGTACTGAACTGAGAATACTGTACCTCTGATATATTTAGAGCACAGCCTTATATTAGGATCAGACTTATCTGTTCAGTTCCTGTGTTAGTTAAAAGTGTGTGTGCATCTGTGTTGGTATATAGAGAGAGGGAGAGAGAAAGAGAGAGAGAGAAAGCAGATCCAAGCTGCTTCCCCATCCCTGCCAAAATGCCAGCGCAGTTGGTCGGCACCAGCACGCAAAGGGTGAAGCTTTTAGGCAATGAGCAGCAGGTGATCTAAGCTTTTCTGTAAGTCCTAATGCTCCTAAAAGCCACTCTCCCTGCTTCTGTAATTGGGCATCAGTAGTTAATGTAGTATTGACTGCATTACATGCTCCTGTGCATCCTCTCCTACTAATGCCATTTGCATCACCTTGTACATTTACCATATTGCTTAGCCAATAGCTGTTAAAAGCAATCTGAATCATGAATCATATGGGGAACTTTTAGCAAGACAGACATCCAAAGGAGACAATTTACAGTTGAGTTAATCTGGGTACATTAGCGCAACATGGATTGAGCGAGACAGACCAATTTATGTTTCTACGGCAATCTCTTTATTGGTTTTTAGATGGGTTAGTGAAAGGATGGTTGGCTCAAAGAGATATGAAATATCCATTTTCAAACATAAATATGGGTCTGAAATGCAAGCCATTAGTTTGGGGGGGAAAGGGCCCCTGGCTAAAACTAAAGGTGTGTGTGATGACAGTATTCCCAGAAACATGACAAGAAAGGCATTTTAGGTCAAAGACGCTTTAAAGGGATTATTTCCCATTTCAACTAAGTTTAAAAACGTATTAGAATACAAAAAAAAAAACGGGATTCAGCTTCACCACAAACTTGTCAGCACCCCAGCCTCCAAAAGAAAAGTTTATAAACGGTTTCCATAGGAACCAGCCAGCAGCGTAAATACAGAGAAGTGCATTGCTCATATGGCTATAAAACGCTGACATGTTTACAAACGCAATACACTGCTATCCAATTGGTGATGTATAAATGTTGTCGTTTACATCTTTCAGTAAAGGTTAAGGTTCAAATGCTCTCACCTGTGAGCGAAGACACCCGCTGTTGATAAAACATCTCCGTAACTTCACAGATTTGCACGAGCTCTAACTAACACTGCGGTGAATACGGACGCTACGTCTTTCTAACAGATTATCAATATTCATATACAAATGGACAGTGAGAGAAGTACACCGTATTCGGCATGTCTCTCCCGACTCAAAGTGTTTCAGAGTCGCGTACGCGCTCTCTCCCTCATGTAAACCTGGCGAACGTACGTGTCCGTTTGATATGACAAACGAACTGGAGCATGAAAGTGCCGTTCAGAGGGAAAATGGACGCTAAATGCTGCGTTTCCTTACTGTCCCGCGTTCTTCATAGTCATGCGGAGCAAATGAATGCACTAACAATCATCCGTGCACTTACCCTCTTCCTTGTCTAACACCATCGTCCTGAGGAGCGAGGAGTCCGGCTCCAGGCGATCCGCTCTCGGCTCCAGCACACTTCTGCGCGCGCCGCTCGCGTCTCTGAGAAGAAATTGCTTTGCAACAACAAAATAATAATCGTCCGCGTTGCTGCCACAAGCTTTAACTATACAGGCTCGTCTGTGTTGGTTTTCCGCTGTTCAGAGACAGAATGCCATGTAGAGAAGCATATGCGTCGGTTATTCTATTGTTTAATGTATTTCGGAGATTACATGCAGCGATGTCCCCCTAGTCGCGTTCGCGTGCGCAGCGCGTCAGTATAATATCCACGCTTGCAATTAACGATGTCTAAAACTAAAGTGAGACGCCACGGTGCATTCCATTCGAAAATGAAACGACTGCACTAACTCAAATCTAATTTAAACTCCCGTTTAAATTGAGCTGCCGCGAAGAAGCTATTCTCGGAGTAGAAACGTGTTCCTCCCAGTTCTCATTTGCTCCGAAACTGTAACTATATTCAAGAAATCCAATTCTGAGGCTGACAACTCCTAACAGCATGCTCACGCTGCCTCTCTCACCCAATTTATGCGCTCCGCGCGCTCCTGCTACTGAATAAATGCGCGCGCTTCCCAGAGAGCCACGGATTCCCCTGTTAATTAAATCAATTCATTATGCTCAGATCTGATTAGCAGCCCTTCCCCCCTCTTTGAATCAATTATTCAATACACAAACATAATTGCTTGTGCCAGAGGTGTCTAAGTATTAGCTTATTTAACTCCAAGGACACTAATTACCCCTAGGGCAAGGGAACTTTTCTCATTAATTCTGACAAAACACAAAAGCACAGCTAAGGGAAAGTGTGTGTGTGTGTCTAACAGAGTGTGTGTGAGTGTTTTTGTGAAGTGCTCACAGGGGATGTGTGTGTGTGTGTTCTTGTGTGATTGTGATGTGTGTTATAAATAGAGAAAAGAGGGTTTGAGCTTTTAAAAAGCGTTTTAAGCAGTTCTCATGATCTAATTTCTTCTCGTTCTTCGCTCTTGTCATTATAATAATACTCCTAGATATGTATGATAGGCTAGACGACTCACTTTCCATATTCAGATAAACAGTCATTTTGAGAGCAACAACACAACAGATGGGCTGTGTTTTGATTAGTGGTGAGATAGGAGAGCACGTTTGGCTCTGGTAATATAATTGTTAGCTGTTACTTTGCTGATACAAGTATTGCTGTTTCATGGTGGGCAATTGATGGGCTTTCACCTGCCCTGCGGAGACTCTTATCCAATCAAGGCAGAGATCCACCCCAGATTAACCATTAGCAGAGATGCAGAGGTTACAAGTGCTCTGTTTGTCCATAAGTGATCTGGCATACTAGTTTTTCATTTGCTTTTATTGTACATCACTGTCAAGGTAGAGATGAAAATGTGCCTTGTTTCATGTCTCTGAGATCTGGAACTCATCGAAGCAGGTGATGAATAGACATAAATTATGAAACTGTAATTCATATCTGCTCATAAGACATTAGGGTGCAAATCTGCCATGCCCCTAGACATTCATTTGTAGTTTAATTTGAACTATAGACTGTAGTAACCTTAGCAGATTGGGACATTGCCCTGCCCCTAAAATCCATTGTTGGAGCCTTTGCTCTCTTCTTCTCTTGCTTGACATGTCTGACTTTTCATTTCAGCAGTGTGATAGATGGATGACTTTTGACCACAAATGTATGTCTGCTGACCTCTTGTGAAGTGAATGACACCCAATTAATCCAATCACAACAAACTGAGGGAACAAGGAAAGCGTGGCCCATTGTAGTTGAATGCTGGACTGCACAAGGCCCCCTGACAGTTAAATGGAGAAACAATAACAAATAATAAGAGAAGCCACATGCTGTTAAAACACTACTTACAAAAAAAAAAAAAAAAAAAATCTTGATATTTAATGATATCCTTGTAACACAGGTTTTTTTGTATTTACTATAATAATAACAGTAAATAAATGCCTAAAAAATCTTAGTTGCCTTAAATTTTTAATCTGAATTAAGATTAACTTTATGAGTCCATTTAACTTATATTATGTAAAACAGACTTAAAACTACTTGCATAACTTATAAAATTAAGTTAGAACATAATTTGCCTTAGTTTAATAAGTTACAACAAACTAAAAACATATGCTGTCATGACTAATTGTTCATATAATTTTATAGTGTAGTTACTTGTACCTAATTCTGAAACTCTCAAGTGAGTAAATGAATATTTACTCAGTATTTACTCACCCTTAAGAGATTATAAACCTTTTTGAGTTTTTTTTTCTCTCTTGAACACAAAATAAGATATTTTGAAGAAAGCTGCAAACCTGTATTGGCATCAATAATAGGAAAAACAAATACAGTACTATGGAGATCAGTGTTTCCAGCTTTCTTCAAAATATCTTCATTTGTGTTCAATGGAAGAAGAAAATTCAAAAAGATTTGAAACAAGTTAAGGGTGAGTAAATGATGACATAATTTTCATTTTTGGGTATCTCTTCCCAGCTGGCACACAACATCATAAGGTATTACTATTACAGTAGGTTAGATTTAGGTCATGACGTCAGATTATTTTGGCATCCAATAATAATTAGGTTGATTTTAGGTTGTGTTGGAAAGTGACCAAAATCGAACGTCTGATAAATGTTATAGTGGCAATGTCCACACAACGTCAAGGTGTAGCATAATTAGATGTTGACATTTGGTCGATTTTAGGTTGGACGTTGGACATTGACGTTGGCCTGACATTGGGTTTTGACCTCAACCCGATTTTCATTTCCAAACAAAATCCAACGTCATTTATATTACTCTGTACTCAGTACATAAATATGTACTGTTCTGTACAGATACACTGTAATAAAGGAGCTGTAAAGTAATGTGTACCATAATTGACACATTTAAACTCTGAAGTGGTTTATTACATTATTTACACAATACCCCTATCATTAATAAAACTGGATTTTGAAAACAGTACAGTTATGGTCTCCGTCTAAACTGCAAAAAATATCATTTTGTAAAAATAGTGATGTGCCTAAAGATTACTTGCCTAAAGATGTAGGGCAAGTAGAGTAAAAGTACCTGTTTTAAATATTACTTAAAGTATGAGTAAAAGCTATACCTTACAAAAGTACTTAAGAGTAATGAGTATAACACTGTAAAAAGCTGATGCATTTACATGTAATATGTGGATGTGTGTAAATACAACATTCTGTAGTGTATCTAGTCATTGCCCAGGAGGCACACAATGTCATAGACATTAATACCAGGATAGATTTAGGTTGTGATGTTAGGTAACCAAAATTCAGTCTAGCCAACAAATTAAGACAAATTTATTTTGATGCCCAATAACAACATCAAATGACGTTGAGCCAACATCTTAAACCAACGTCATATTGACGAAGAATGCTGACATTTATTTGTCAGGTATGGCAACCAAAATCCAACATCTGATAGACGTCATAGTAGTATTGTTCACACAATGTCAAGCTATAACATCATTAGACATTGATATTTGGTTGCTTTTAGGATGGAAATTGTACATTGACGTCGTCAGCCTGACGTTGGATTCTGACGTCTACACGATTTTCATTTTCAAACAAAATGCAATGTCTTCATGACGTTGGGATAAAACGCTAATCTGGCGTCATGTTGATGTCTTGTGCCTGCTGGGTGTTTAGGGCAATTCGGATATCATACAGTAAACATCCGTCATCTTCTCATCAGTGACATCCATCTGAACAGTCTCCAGGTCAATGGATGTACAGATTTTGGACGTCTTCTAAGACACTTTTAATGCTTCCAAACAGTTTGCTGCAATTATAAATGGCTCATGTCTTGACATAGTTCATTGTGATGTGATTTACCTTCTATGTGCGATTTGATTGGGCAGGAATCATAGGACTGATTTTTCGGTAACACTTTACAATAAGGTTCATTAGTTAATGCATTTACTAACATGAACTAATTATGAACAACACTTGTACAGCATTTATTAATCATAATTGAACATTTACTAATGCATTATTAACATCCAAGTTCCAGCTTGTTAACATTAGTTAATGCACCATGAGTTAACATGAACTAACAATGAACTACTGTATTTTGATTAACTAACGTTAACTAACATGAACAAATACAGTAGTAAATGTATTGTTCATTGTTTGTTCATGTTAGTAAATGCATTTATTAACATTAATTAATAAACCTTATTGTAAAGTGTGACCGATTTTTCTAATCAACACAGACAAGAAAAAATAAAGTAGTGGCTGCAGGATGAAGGAAAGTAATGGAGTAAAAATATTGATACTGCTCTAAAATGTACTCAAGAGAAAGTAAAAGTACACATTTTTAAAACTACTTAGTAAATTACAGTTTCTGAGAAAAACTACTCAATTACAGTAGTTTGAGTATTTGTAATCTTTTACTTTACACTACTGGTGACTACTGATCTGACATGCAGGATGTAGAGTTTTAATTGTTTGTGTGGATCAGTGTGAAGGAGGACTGTTTTGACAATAATTAAAAAGAATATTTTGCTTTTAGTGCCATTAGAAAGGAATAAAGCCTGCTAGGAATGACTTCCACAAGTGCAGTGACACGTATCATGCTTTCCTTCTGTATTGATGGTCAGTGATGGAGCGATCCATTGTTTTTTTTATTATTTGGAGGCCTGAAGTGCATCCCCGTTCGATAGCACACTGCATTTGGGGTCAGCTGTGACTGGAAACCATCCTGGAGTGTGGGCCTTGTGTTGCAGAGTTAATTAAAATTCATTTCTGATTGGGAATTAAGCAGACCCATCTATTTACTGCTGGGGCTCACATACAGCCAGTTCAAAAACACAGCGCAGTAATTAACCCCACCTAATCAGATAGCATAGAGCCGAGTTAGGTTCCCATTTATCCTGGGGCAAACAATCAGTGGATGGTGGAGTCAGGGAGAGGTTGAACAAGAGCCTCTCCTATATTTCATAATGGTTAAGCTGATTATAAACCAATATCAGACATGGTAGTTTTCTGTAACTGCGTTCAATGGAAAAGTCCTGCTTGGAGGAAAGACGCAGAGAGGCCTGTTGTGATGATATCTGGATAAATGAGATAAATGATTCACATGATAGATGGTGCTTGCTTACGTTGTCCTAAATTAATTCAAAAACCAGTTGAAAATTGTACTTGCTTTCTTTCAGTTGATGTGCAGCCATGAATGTGCCTTATTCATCATTCTTTAGTCACAATTTATTTCAATGGTCAGTTTGTTGAATTAAGTTACATTGCATCTACATGCTAACTAATTCTCATTAGATTATAAATAGACTGTTAAATTGGGGTTAGGGTTAGTGTAAGTTGACATGTACTTGCAAGTTTCTTATAGTCTGTTGAAGGTGCAGTATCAACAGATATTAAGCAGACAGTCTACTAATACTCAAATGGACCATCAAAATAAAATGTTACTTTTTTATCAAACACGTTTAATAGTGCAGATAATTATCTTGTTATGTTTCAATAGTTGTTCCAGAATATATATTTGTAAAGCTCACCCTCTGTGTTGTGGCAGTGTGTTCAGCT